AGCTAGAGGAGGCCAAATGTCTTCTTCCCTCCACTTGCCCGAGCACCTGACCCCAGCCTGCTCTGAAATGGTCCTCTCTCCTTCCCCACTCTTCCGTGTCCCCAGCACAAAGGTCCCTGGGACTTCTGTGGGCTCCTGGGTCGTAGTTTGTGAAGGGCGAGCCTGTCTCGCCACCTCTGTCCTTGTCTAACACACCCTAGCTGACTCTCCTCCGACTCCTCATGGTTGCCAGGATATTCCCATGCATAACTGCCCTCAGGGCCCATGGGACCAAGGGCTGCAGGCTGGGGCTGCCTGTCCTCACTTCAATACAATGACCTGGGACCTTGGAAGCCCCCAGGTCCCCCTCCCCACCTCTCTGTTACTTGGCACACCTGGCTAGGGCCGCTCGGGCTTAGTGCATACCTGCGCTGCCCACGTCTCTCCTTGGCCCTCCTGCACACCTGGGCCCGCCCACCACTCTCAGAGGGGCCTGGCAGCCCTGAGGCCCCCCCTGCGTTGGGGTTTTCTCTGTTAGACTGCAGGAGGAAGCGTGAGGAAAGAGCTTAACCCCTGTGTTCTCCAGGTTTTCCCCCAAGAGTCCTTCTTCCATTACCCTCCATGGACCCTGGACGCTGCAGTGGTGAGTAAGCAGGGCTAGTTCTGTCCACCCCAGGTGTCAAATGGGAGCCTGACCCCAGGCTGAGCCACCCATAGGCTGCTCCTGAAAACCCTGGTTGCCTCCACAGAGTCCCCCAGGAAAGGTGTCGAAAATCGTGGAGTCCCACTACTGCCCTGTCGACTCCCAGGAGAGATGGAGCTGAACTGTCAGGCCTAGGCTGAGGAAGCCAGCTTGCACAGGGCCAGTGGGGGCATCTCCTGAGACCCCACCAGAATCCCTGGACACCATCCGTCCTTGTGCCACGGGCTGAGGGAGCGGGCAGGGAGGCAACAGGTGAGCCCTTCACAAGTGTTCTGTGGGGAGCCAGAGGGACGTGGGGGCTCCTGGGAGGGGCCTAGGGCAGTCTCCAGCAGGAGGCCCCCTTTATGGCTTTTCAGTTAATTCAGACAGTGGGAGGAAGGGGCACACCACACATACACACACACACACACAGGACACGGAAGCTGCTGGGACGCCAGACATCAGGCTGGACACTGCACCGTGCCCGAGGGTTGGCTTTGCAGAGGGCTGTGCAGCCCACAAGCCTTCTCGGCCACAGGGTCCTCCAGCATCTCCCACGGCAGGACTGGCACCAGATCTGGGACCACGTCCCACCCACTGACGGCTTCCACTGGGGGATTCCGGGGGGGGGGAAAGACTTTACATGACATAAAATCGAAGGAGCGGCCTCAACCAGTTCTGTAAAATGGGATTGGGGGATCAAAGGGACTCTCAGCATTGCCATGCGGCTATTTACAGAAAGTTATAGACATGCATCTTGATTAAACAAGATTCTGCTCGTATGTTTATAGATAACTGTCTTCTTTTATATATAACTAAACGCACATGGAGGGGGTCAGATGAGGCTCAAATGGCTTTGGAAGGTTTTTGTTTTGTTGTCGCTTAAAAAATAAAGTATATTCATGTGTCTTCAAGTCACAGTGTCCCCTTCTCAATATTGCAGTTCGAAAAACTGGCTAAGTCAAATCCTTGGTGACCAGTCCCTGGCTCCCTGGGATGGAGGGGGAGAGAGGAGTGCTGCGATAGGACTGCCCCACACGATACAGGATGGTCAGTCAAATGTGAATTTCAGACAAACAGCAAATCACTTTTTAGTATCCCAAATATCGCCTAGGACATACTTAAACATTATGTGCTATTTATCTGAAATTCACATTTGATTGGGCAGTCTATATTTTTATTTGCTAAATTTGACACCCATATCATGGGGCTCTGGCCCCCAGGATCAGGACCTGGGATTCTTCCCTACCTGCCACCACCCAAGGCTTTGAGAAAGGCCTCCAGCTAGCCTGAGGTGGGAATGGGGGAGGAAAGGCAAGGAGGGAGCAGAGCAGAGCAGAGGCCATGAGAGCAGTTCCTGGTTCAGTCTCTTCCTACCTGTGAGGGGGAGGGACACCCCTCAGGGAGACTCTGTCTGCATAAGGTTGTGTGAGATCCAGGACTCGGATGCCTCAAGAATTAGTCTAGGGCACTAAGGGAACATGGAATCTCACTTCCCAACCCCAGGGGAGGCTGTTCAACCTCTTTGCAATACCCATCCCCAACTTCACCCACTGCACAAAGGCAGGTTTACAAGAGAGCCGGTTGTACCCATAGGAGGGTTCAGCGACACTTCATCCCTGCCCCCGCACCCCACAATTCTCTCTCTCTCTCTCTGAAGCTTGAGGCAGAAAAATCATCCCACACTGATTCTTCAGAGACACAAACTATGTGTGGCTTCCTGGAACGATAAAAGGTCAGGATCTGAGATTATGACCTCATCCCGGCTGTCCTGTCCTCCAACAGAGGGACTGCAGGAAAGTCACTTCTCGTTCATGCCAAGCACCTTTTCACTATCTGGGGCTGCCCAAGTGTTATTTACCCAGAATCCCCCAGACCTCAACTTCTGTCTCCAAACGCCAAAGTTCTGCCTGTAGCTCTGGCAGAGATAATTTCCGTCTGAAATGATTATTCAGGGAACAAGCAGAAAACAACCTTCAGGCCTCACCCCAGTTTCTGGGTGGGATTGGGCTTAGGCTTTCGTGGTTTCAGTCCTTATGTACAAAATCAACTCTGCACTCATTTCCTCTCTCTGGAACAGACCGTGGCATGAAAACAGCCCCAGAGGCATCTAGAACCCCTCACTAGCCAGACACCCTAACTCTTTCCTGCTTAGTGCCTCTAACCCAGTATCCTAACTTGCCTAGAAGTAAACCTGCCCAGCAGTGAGGATGTGGCATGATGCTCTGTGGCTTTTGAATCACATCAATCCTTGGGTATGGAAAGCTTACAAGAATAAGCATGTTCCCACCTAGCCCTTGGACCCAGACAGAAGCCATCTTCTAGGGTGGCTCATCAGGACCAGCGGGACCTGGGGAAGGAGCTGCTCCCCACACCCACACTGGCTCAACACTGGTGCCAGGATTTGATGTCTCCCAGCAAACCATACCCATCCCTCAAGGCTCCCCACTAAGGTGGGCTCGGAGTGATAAGATCCAGCCTATCTCTGGGTACGTGGACACCCAAACCACCAGAGGTACCTGCCATTTCCTTTCCTTCTTTGTCAGGGGAATAGCAGATCTTAGACTTTGGAAGGGCTGAGTAAGATTCATGAGCAAAGAAGAATCCCAGGTGGTAGACGATGGATTGGGAAAGGGCAAAGGAATGAAGGTGGAGGGGATGAGGCTGAAGGGGAGTTTCCATGAATGAGGTTTGTAGGATATGGGTGAGGAGGAGTCTGGGGAGAGACCCTGAGAAAGCACCAAAATCCCACACCTCTGGAGATGGAGAAGAGTCAGTGATTTCAGATGTCTATACCAGGAGATCTTACTCTGCAGTCACCCAGATTCTGAAGGCATCCTATTGTCCGACAACTCTCCACCATGACCACACCTCTGGTCCCAAGGACCACAGCTCATAATCCTCATCAGAATCCTGCCTTCCCATTATTAAGAACACAAACATGCACACACACACAGAATCTAGTAAAAATATAACTGCCATGAGCAAGACCGAGAAGGGTCTCTGAGACCCTGTTTCCCAGTCTGTTGGAAGATGTTCCCTTACTGCCTACTTCAACAGGAAAAAAAGCAAAAACAAAAATCTCTTCCCCCTTTTAAAAATAAAATGAAAAGACACTGCATTTTCTTTATGCTGTGTCTTCAAAGCCTGATCCTCTTCAACACCGTCCATTTGTCTCAGGTGCCTACAGGAAGTGGAAGTGGCCCAATGGGGCAGGACAGGAAGTGCTATCATTTGTGCTGGGAAAGAGAGAGACACCCAGGCTTCTGGGGAAGTCATGAGTTCTCTGTGGTGAAGAAATAGTAAGTGCCCAAGGGCTTCATGAATGGAAAAGAGAGGCCAAAGGAAGGGAGGCAGGGAGGGCTGGCCTCTGGCCATAGGGGGACCTGACTCTCGTTCAGGCTGAAGATTTGGAAGAAGACTCAGCGCAAACTTGACCAACATATATATGGCTTTTTATCAATGCTTGGGACAAAAGATGAGCACGGAATGGTCACAACTGAGCATGGGGTAGAAACCCTGGCAGGTCTCCTCCACCAGCCATTTGAAATGGATGCCCTCTTTTTCTTGGCATTCACAGAGAGAAGCCTCCCTGATGAATAGTAGGATGAGGCTCCCACTGGTCCCACTAGGCCACTCCAGCTACCTATAAGCCCGCTGGCATGGAGAGCAGAGGGTCCGGGGAGCAAGGCATGGGAGTTGAGGGGGAATTCCAGTGCTCCCCTGTATCTCATCCTGGGAAATCTCTGTAACCTGTCCCCTATCCTCCTCTTCTTACCATCCCCTTCTTACCTGAACCTCAGAAGGGAACTAAGAACACTGAAACTTTCCTTTTAAAGTTCTCTGGCTCTGCACAGACATTGTGTCTTCGGATAGTGTGCTCCACTTAAATTAAGAGAGAAACAGAAGCAAAAGCATGACAGGGAATAAATGCAGATGAACTGCACTGCTTATATTCTAGAAAAAGAGAAAGCATCTGTGTTTCCCACTGGATGGAAGGAAGATCCAGGAGTTTAATTTTTGGTCTTTCTGGGTAATGGGGCTTCTGTTTCTTCGTAGTTTGATATTTATTGTCAACAAGAGTGAGATTCTGGGACTGACAGTCCCTGTTAGAGTCTGACCAATCTAGTGAATAGTTCGTTTCTATGAATTTTCCAGAAGTCACATTTCTGGGGGAAACCATGACTGACAGAAGGAAGTCTACAATGGCATCAGGGGTTTGGCCCTAGTTCTGGACATATCCAGTCTTCACAGCTTGCTGCCTCCCAAATAGCTACCCACAAGGAGTGTGGGAGCTTCTGGCATCCGACCAGGACTCTGAGACTTCTCCACAAGTTGATAGATCTCCCACTTGGTTGACTTTTTATTTTAGGGTCCCCGCAGGGCCTTCTTTTCCCATACAACTTCACTGTCCATGGCTCATTCCAGGAATGAAGAGTAATGCTCAAACACACACACACACACACACACACACACACACACACACACACACACACACACACACACACACACACACACACACACACACACACACAACCGATCATTGGCCACTGTGATGCCTTCCCGGGAAACAGGAAGTGCTGCCATTTTGTTGGTCCAGAACGCTCAAAAGACAGGAAGTGCTGCAACTTTCTGCCAGTAGAGGGCCTCACTCAGGGTGAGGCTTATGTGAAGCTGGAAAAAGAAAGGGCGAACCATGACAGGGTATGCAGCAAGGGCAGCTCCTGGGACCATGGACCGAGCCAGGCTTCTCTCTCACCTCTCAGGGGACTCTCCTCACACAGCCATCAAAGGAAAGTTGGTCTTTAAAAAGAGAAAAAGAAGGAAATCAAGGACACCATCACAGACAAATGAAAGGAACCTCTAAGGTCGCATAACTGAGGTATTGATAGCTCTGGATCTTGTCAGTGTCCGTGAAGGGTGTGGGGTCCCAGCCACTGCTGTCTACTTGTTCTTGCCCAGGAGTGCGTCCACCTCCTCCTCTGGCTTAAGCGAGTGCCACTGGGCAATGGGCCTCCGAGGGTTGGCCAGCATGTCAGACCAGTGCCGCAGCTCTGTGCCGGTGGCATTGCTGCCCACAAAGATCTTGCCAATGGCTTCGTTCTTGCCCAGCTTGTCATAGTCCAGCACGGTGACCACTACCTGGACTTTCTGCAAGAAAAACAAAGGAGGAACAAGTTGGCAGGCAAAGACGTACGGTCTCACGACCCAGCTTCTCCCTTCCATCAAGGCCTCCGGGGCTCCTTGCTTCTCTCTCTGCTCCAACTAGGACTGAATTTACATGGAGACAGAGGCATGGGCCTTTTGGAGGCAGCCTTTGTTTCCACCAACAGACATTTATTGAGCATGTGCTATGCTCTGGACACAGTGTAAGCACTTGTGGAGGGGGTGGGGAAGGAAAATGAAAAGATAAACTTTACTTCTAATGAGATCAGCAGACACATCAAAAATTGATAAAGGCCATGCTAGAGAGGTAGGGACAAGGTACTACAGAAACTCAGAGGGGGTGACGGTCCTGCTTGGGTCAATCAGGAAAGGCTTCACAGAGGAGGTGACTGGGACCTAAAGGCTGAGGATTCTCCAGGAAGAGAAAAGAGGGAAGAAGATTCCAGGAGAGAAGATTCCCTGGGGAGAGGCGTAGAGACCTAAGTGTGCATTTGGTAGCTGAAAAACATTAGAAGTTCAGAGCCACTGAGATATAGAATAAGAAGCAGTGCCAGGCACAGTGGATCACGCCTGTAATCCCATCACTTTGGGAGGTGGAGGTGAAAGGATTGCCTGTGTCTAGGAGTTCAAGACCAGGCTGGGCAACTTGGCAAGACTTCATCTCTACAATAAATTTAAAAATTAGCTGGATGTGGTGGCATGCACCTGTAGTTCCAGCTACTTGGAAGGCTGAACCAGATAGATCACCTGAGCCCAACAGGTCAAGGCTATAGTAGCCATGAGTGTGCTGCTACTGCACTCCAGCCTGAGTGACAGAGTGAGACTCCAACTCAAAAAAAAAAAAAAAAGACAAAGCAGTGAGACAGGAAAGGAGACTGACAGGGTGGGCTGAGGTCAGCTAAGGAGTTTGTATTTTATCTCAGGCACCCAACAGGGGTGCCTAAAGCCTTCTGCTTTTTTGTTTTTTGTAGAGACAAGGTTTTACTATGTTGCCCAGGCTGGTCTTGAACTCCTGGGCTCAAGAAGTTCACCCACTTTGGTCTAGGATTACAGGCATGAGCCACCATGCCTGGCCCACACCTGAAGACTTCTGGAGAAGGAGTGGCATGGGTATTTTAGAGAGAGAACCAAGCATTGTGGTGGAAGATTCACTGGAGGAGGCGTGGGCTAGATGGCAGGGAGGAGCCCCGTGGGTGGTGCCGGGGTCTCTGGGAGGGGGAATACGGAATACCCAAACCAAGATGAGGGCAGCAGGGATGGGAAGTCAAGGCCAGACTGGAGAAGCCTTTAGGGGAGAGAATTAAGAGGACTAGGTGATCATTCAGATTTGTTGAGGGGACGGTCAGTGTCTTTTTCCCCGGTGACCCCAGCCAACTCAGGCTTATCCTTTAAGACAAAACTTTCTCTGGGAAGCCTCACCTGAGTTGTTCACAATCTTCTACCAAGAAGCTATCTTCTCACTGTGCCTTACCTGCCTATTAACTGGTCCCTTCCCACTGTGAGGTCCTTCAGAGTGTGTCTTTTCCCAGCCCCTAGCAAGTGCCTGGCACGTAGGAAACATTCAGTAAAGTATGTTGGCTAAATGAGGAAGAAAGAGGGAGAGACAGTCTAAGGTGATGCCCAGGTGTCTGACTTGGGCTAAGTAGATGGTGGATAGTAGAAGGTGGGGACATTTGTTGGAAACAGAATTCAGACAAAGTGGACTTGGCTGGGAGGGGGTAGGGAGAAGGCTGTGTTGGTTTCAGGCACATTGATTTGAGGCCTGGGCTAGGATACTTCATATCTATCTTAAGTTCTCCATAACGAGCACTTCTCTCGGACTAACATTGGCCCTGAGCAGCCCATTGTTCCCTCGAACAATTCCATAGGTGGTACTATAGACACCTCCATAGATGAGGTTACCAACTCTGAGATTCCCTTGCCCCCTTGCCCCCTGCCCTTCTGGAGGGGGGAGAGAGGAGGAGGGATCAGCTCACTACAAAGAAGGGACCAGGACTCCAGAAGGATCCACGACTCTGCAAGTCCCTGGCTGCATTTGGCTTCCTTCCCAGATGGGGTAGGTGGGTCGCTTGTCCTGCCATGTCTAGATCCCACTCATCCCCAGAAGTGGTGAAAAACAGACCTCATCTCCAGCATCTGCAGAACTTGCTGGAGGGAAGGAAGAGCAGAGGAAGCTGGAAGAATGGTGGGAAAATAGGAGAGAGGAAAGGGGTAAGGGGCTGATGGGAGGGAAATAGGGAACTGCAGAAGCGGGAGGCAGAGATTACCAAGGCAGGACGTGGCTTGGAGGGTGGAGGAGGAGGAGAACTCTCACCCCTCCTCAGCTCCCAACCTCTCTGGCACCAGTGCTACACCCCACATGCCCATGGGCACAGCCGTGTTCCTCAAAGTCCTAAAGGAACTATTTGCAATATTTTAAAAAAAAATTCATTCCTATTCTTCTCCTCAGAGAATGGGCACCCTTCCACTGCATGCACCGAGGACTGCTCCATGCCTAAGAGCCAAAGGTCTTGAGCACCTGAATCTGCTCAAAGGGGATCTCGAAGCTGAAGGATTCATTGAAGTACGGGTTCAGGGTCTTCTTCTTCACAGTTGTCTTCTTCTTTTTGAGCCTCTTGCCATTCTGCATCAGGTGGATCTTCACATAGGGGTCTGCAGAGAAAGAATCCCCACCCCAGAGAGGCTCACACCCACACACTAAAGGCACCGAGGCCCACCCAAGCATCAGTCACAACTGGGGTCTCCACCGCTGAGACCAGGCCTTCAGAAAGCCCGAGTCATACATGGAAGTCCAAAAGACAGAGTTAAGGAGGCAAAAGGGCTTCACCTGCGGGACCATCCGATTGACTGGCTGTAGTTTTCTGGAGCACTGTGGTGGGGAGATTTCTGAGTCTAAGTAAGGCCAGGGAGAAAGAGTGTGGGGACTGAGTGGTGATCCTGGGTCAGGCCAAGGACAGAGAGCTAAAGGCGGTATGTCTACTGTGTCACAGTCCTGACCCAATCCAATCCTCCTAAACGTGCAGATGAAAAGCTGAGGCTAAAGAAGGGGAATGCCCTGCCCGTGGTCATACAGTGGCTCAGTGACAGAGCCGGAGGTGGCACAGAGACACGCCGGTTGGCAAGCCATGGTCAGGGCTGATTCTCTGGGAGGCAGCAGGCTTTCCCCACCAGAACCCTGTGCCTTGGGTAAATGTGGCACTCAGAGCATCCCCCCTTTCCAGAGCAGAGCCTCTCCTGGAGTGTCCCCAGTTGTGGTGGCACACTTTGAGCTAAGCCTTGCTCACTTCCTGCACTTCCCTGGGAGAAGGAAGATCCTGTCACTGACCCATTTGGAGGATGAAGTGTCTCTGACCTTTTTCTCCGTGGCCCATAGGTATGGCCAGAGAGCACCAGGAGGGCAGCTCTGATTGGGGACAGGGGACCTTGGACAAACGAAGGGACTGGAATATGCAAAAATGTGCAAAGTTTTCCTCCTCACTTGAGTGTGCAAACTCCCGGGGATCTGGGGTGGTGGCTGGCTCGCTGGTGCCACCCCATGGCAGCCAGAAGCTCTGCACATACCTGAAAGGCCACCCACGTCCATCTTCTTGAGGTTCTTGGCCTCCAGAATGCAGACAGTGAGCTTCCCAGCTGTGGGCACGTAGCGCAGGGAGGTACAGATGTCACCCAGCTTCTCTGGCTGTCCAGGGGAGAAGCGACACTCAGGTCATCTCAGCTCTTCCACTGCGTCTTGTGTGGTTGGCCCTGTCTGGCCAAGACCAGCAAGGCGGTGATGCGTCCCCACCTCTCTCGGTCACAGTCCCACATCTGTGATGGCCAAGAAGATCTTTCCCTCGGGGCTTCACACTGCAGTGCAGCAAAGCCCCTAAGAGTGACTGGCTGGGCTGGGCACGGTAGCCTAAGCCTGTCATCCCAGCACTTCGGGAGGCCGAGGTGAGGGGATTACCTGAGCCCATGGGTTCGAGAACAGCCTGGGCAACTTGGTGAGACCTCACCTCTACAATGGAAACATTAAAAAAAAATTAGCCCGGCGTGGTAGTGCACACCTGTAGTTCCGGCTACTTGGAAGGCTGAGGCGGAAGGATCACCTGAGCATGGCCGTGAGCATGCCACTGCATTCCGGCCTGGGCAACAGAGTGAGACTCCAACTCAAAAAGAGAGTGGCTGGCACCATGGGAGCCATGAGCGGAAGATGCTGCCAGGTGAGTGAGGCCGAGGTAAGGCTGCAGTGGCAGGACTGAGAGAGGGGGCCTGGGTGGGCCCAGAAGGACGAGGGCCCGGGAGGATGAGGCTTCTACCACAGAGTGAAGTGAGAAGGGACACAAGGAGTGGGCATGGTGGACAAGCATCTCCCTCTGAGAGACCCGGGGAACTGAGTGTCTCAGAAGCCTTCCTCCCCTGACCACTTGCACCATCAAGGTCTCTCCCTGTGGACCATCTCACAGCATAGAGTGATTTGTGGTTTTCAAGGCAATTTGCATCCCTTTTCTTTTGTCACTGCAACTCTTTCATGTAAGCAAAGCAAGAGGTCTTTGTGACCAACAAGAAACAGGTTCCCAGAGGGGGATGGTTTGCTCAAAGTCACACAACAATCTAGCTTACGGGCAGAATGGGGACCTGATCTCTACGATCTCTGCCAGCCCCACACTGCAGAATCAAAGCTACTCAGAGGCGAAGCCACCCAGGCCAAGACTGGCCACATTCCACATGCCTGGTTCAGGTGTGCTGGCCTTCCTTCCAGACACAGCGTACCAAGGGACAGAGGATACCCTAAGCTTTTCTACCCATCCCTCTGTCACTACCTGGTAGTGTGCTGGGCAGCAGCAGGGGCTTGACCAAGACAAATGACTGGTCCTGAAAGGAGAAGTGGCTAAAATGGAGTTGGTACACAGCAGTTGCTCAATAAATATTTGTGAGTGAATGAATGCTGTAGCAGTTGCCGGGAGGGCAAGCCCCCATGTTGAGTATCCTTTACAACAAACATGAGTTCTCCTTGCGAATAAACCAAGGCACAGAGTCATGAATCCTTGGCCTCAGGTGACAGTAGAACCTTAGAAGTAACCATCATAATGGTGTTTTTATTTATTTGAGCACTTCCCAAATCCCAGACGCTGTGCTAGATGCCTTACACCAATAGTGAATCCTCGTCAATAAAAAGAGACTGAACAAGAGAGGCCTGGTTCAAAAGTGTGAGCAACTTGCCTAGGGTCACACAGCTGAGCAGTGCGGAGCTGGGATCCCACCCCATGCCACCTGCCTCCACAGCCCCGCGAGCAGCTGCACCTGCCTGTCTGCCTGGCCTGCCCAGTCTCTGCTCTCACCTCCTCCTTCTCCCCGCCTTGCAGGTCTCTCCACTCCTCAATGGGCTGGCCGAGGTCCACCGTGTTCATAGGCACCTTTACCTCTCCAATGATGTCATGTTTGGAGAAGCGGTCAAAGTCGTAGATAGCCATCACCAGAGTTTTGCCCCCCAGCTCCTGGTATGGCACCTGCAAGGCAAAAGCAGGATCAGAATGGGCCTCCGGGAGACACTGTGGACAGCTCCCTGGGTCTGGGCCCGGGCCTCTGTTCCAGCCAGCCCACGGGGCTCCCGAAGTGCGCCAAGGCAGCGAGAAGACCCAGGGCTCTAAGAGGAACAGAGTGCAAGGGTGGGATGGGAGGGATGACCTCCTGGAGGCCGGCGGTCCAGCCTGCTATTGCTCCTGGCTGAGCTAAAGCTAAGGACCAAGGAAAGGTCTGCAGAACTTAGGGGAGACTTGGGATCAGGGAGGGAACTGGAGTCACCCTTTCAGCCTCAGCACCTTGAAGGTGAAGGTTTCATTGAAGGCAGGGTTCAGTGTCTTCCGATGGACTTTGGTCTCATATTTCTTCTTCTTGTCTGGAAGGAGGAAGACTTTGACGTAAGGGTCTGAGGTGCCTCCCATGTCCAGGGCAGGCAGTTCCGCAGCCTGTAGCACACCCACCGTAAGCTGTGGAGAGAGGGTGGGAGGGGCCTGAGTCTCAGGGTTGCTCCAACACAGATCTGGCCTCAGGTGCAGCTCTCCCCACACTCCAGTCCCAGTTGAGGAGAAAGAGACAGGCTGGTGATAGAGAGCAAGATTGGTCTCCATCTCTACCCCGAGGAATTTGGAATGGCATTTAGGTAACGCCATTGAAAGGGCAGTTGTTTTGTCTAACGTTGGTGGGCAGGTTAATAACATCATCAACCTGGAACCTTCCCCAGAGCAGGCTGGTGGCCAAGCCAGGGTCAATGTCTAGGGCTATGCACCCTGCAGTTTCCTTAGCCCTGCAAGCCCCGCATCCTAGGGGAGCTGCTTCTATCCCCTTCCACAGCTCCCAGCCCTCTACCCTTCCCCACTCTGCCCCCAGCCCAGCCCCACACACCTGATTGGCCTGAAAATCATAGTCCAGGGAAAACTGCAGCTTGCCCAGGTTTTCTGGCTCTTTCTCCTCCTCTCCTTCACCTTCTCCCTCAGTCAGGCCTGTCTCTGCATCATCATCATCCTGTGGGAGCTGGGGGGGAAGGAATGAGTTAAAAGAGAACAGAGCAGCCCGGTTTAGCACAGGGCAACGGGAAGCCAGGCCCCGTGAGCCCACCCCTGCCTCAGCTGGGTGTGGGGGCAAGGGGGGAATGAGGCCCCGTCTGTGGCACTCTTCTCCTCCAAAGCCCATCAGAAACCCTAGGCAGCCCCTCTGAGCCCCAGCCCTATGCTAGAAGATGTGGGTCTGGTTTGGGGGTGTCTCTTTCCTCCCCACGAGGCACAGCGCTATGAGACCAGGCACTTTGCCAAAGGCTTTACAGCTTCTGGAGGGGAAGGGGTTGCTTCCCTTGTAAGACCTTTCCCCAAAATACATCCCCCAGCACAGGTCCCACTCATCCTGGGCAAGACATACCAGAAATGCAGTCCAGGCAGACAGGAGCAGAGCAAGTCCACACAAGCAGAAAGAGAGGGAAGAGAGGGATGTGAGAGAAAATCTAGCAGCTCAAACCAGCCCCTGAAGTCACAGACACTTGGTGAGACCAGCTGGGCTACACTCAGGGCATCTTGGAACCCCCCCCCCCACACACACACACTGCAAATTCCTCGTGCCCCCCTCACTCACATACGTGTATGTGGGCACACACACACGCACAAACACACAAGCACTCAGAGGTCATTTTGATCCCTAGCCAACTTCCTGAGATCAGGCCCTTTCTTCCATCCTCCATACTGATGCCTTGAGCAAGGGATTTCTCCCAGTCACTCCCAAAACAAACGTGTGCAGCAATGAAGCACACAGGGGCCTCTGTAGACTTAAAAGGAGAATCTTTGACACATCAAGGGATCTTTCTGGGCTGACCAACACCAAAAGACAGGGGAAAATGAATTGCATTATGATAGAATTAGTGTCAGATTCCATTTGGCCCTATCTTGGTGTCACAGGGCCCCTCAGTTGCCTCATTCAATTCCCACCCCACACCCAGTTAGATGGCTCCAATGAAATGTTGCCCTCCAGACAAGACTCTCTGGCAGGAAAACACAGGGTTACCCAATGGCGTCTTCCTGGTGGTGGGGGGGTGTTTCTTTCCAACATTTTGTGCCTATAGCCTCCATATATTGTCCTCTCCCTGTCTTTTCAAGGAGTTCATGCTAACACAGGAGTAAGCTCCCCTCTCCACCAGCCAATGGGTAGGTAGTGTTATGCTAGGGATGACCGAGCTTTGAGGAGGTGAGCCCGTCTGGTCGTGGAAGCCCAAAGGCCTTTGCTTCATCGCTTACATGGGGAAAGCCCAGGCTGGGCCTCTTCCAGTGCCTCCCTCCGACTGGGTCCTACCTGACCCCCTTTCATGTCCTTCATGTTCATGGCATTCTTCATGCCTTTGCCCTTCTCTTTCTTGTTCTTCTTCTTCTTGCAGCAGCACTTCTTGCAGATGCAGAAGCAGCAGGTGAGGAGCAGGAGGCCGGCGACCACGGCGATGGCAATCAGTGCCCAGGGTGGTACTGCCCACACAGAGGAGAGACCCAGAGTCAGCATTGCCAGGCCTCACAGCCCCTGACCCCACAGCATCGGCAACAATGGGTCAGGACCACGGCCTGCTCTTCCCCAAAGCTCATGCTCCACTGTTTTTTGGAGTCGGAGTCTCACTCTGTCGTCCAGAATGGAATGCAGTGGCACGCTCACGGCCACCACAGCCTCAACCTGCTGGACTCAGGTGATCCTTCTGCCTCAGCTTTCCAAGTAGCTGGAACTACAGGCATGCGCCATCATGCCTGGCTTATTTTTCTTGATTTACCATAGAGGGGAATTCTCACCAACTTGCTCAGGCTAGTCTCAAACTCATGGGCTCAGGCAATCCTCTCACTTTGGTATCCCAAAGTACTGGTATTATAGGCGTGAGCCACCGTGCCCAGCCTCCCTCCACATTTTTTAAACCATATACTGATAAGTGATTTGCTTGTAAGTTGCATACACTTTGCATGCCTTTACATTAGTGTCTTGGTTTTTTTTTCTTTTTTTTTTTTTTGAGTCTACTGCCATTGTAGGCACAGCCTGCTAGCTGAGAGACAGCAACCAGGTGTACACATGGAAGAACATCAGCTTGGCTCCATGAGTTTTGACTCGATTGACTAGTTTGATCTCTGGAGAACTAGTTCATACTGGAGAGGAGGGGATGAGTTTATCAGATCCAGGTATAGGAAGAGTCCCTTGGCCCCCACCACTTGAGAGGGCTGACCCATAGACAGGAAGACCCAGCTCCTCAAGGTTTAGACTGGACCTAGAAGGCTGGGTTTCGCATAACTCAAGCGTTTGGGGAGGGGCCCTGACTGCTCTCTGTGGTTCTGAAGCACCATCTCTCACAAGAATGGCTGCTCCCCGCAACTGCACTTCTGGTACCTCCTGTACAGCCTTTGCTCAGAATTCAGAAAGCAGTGAGGGCTTTTACTTTGTATCTTCTAAGACAAATTTATTTCAACGTGTTCCTGGAATACTTGAATAATAACTTCTGCTTCATAATTTTTCATCTCCTTTTGGTTCATCTTTTGGCAGTTTTTTAAGTTATAAGAACTTTTCTTTCCCAGGAATTTGGGGCACATGAGCCCCATGTTCCCTACATTAATGGCAGGCCATACTTCTCTCGCCCCACCCTTGCAGGGGCTCTCCAAAACCCAGCCTGAACTCCAAGCATTATGAAAGAGTCCAGCCAATCACATCCCAGTGGTCCCCCGCCCCCAGTCCTTCCTCAGCCCTCCCTTGCCCCGCCCACAAGCCCTTTCCCAGACGCTAGGCTAGCCTTGCCCATCCTCTCAGCCTCCAGAGACACTCACAGGGGATCTTGTTGATTTCATTGAAAAACTTCTCCTTCAGCTTGGCAAACATGTCTTCCTGGCTCTCCCCAGCACCCCCACTCTCAGTGGAGTTGTCTGCGGGTCCGATTGGCATTGTGGCGGTGGTGGTGGCAGGAGCCACAATGGGCTCCTGGTTCCTCTTGAAGATGTTCCTCATGGTGGCAGAGGGGACAGCTGGGATGCAAAAGGGAGAGGGGTGAACATCCCGGAGGCCCTATTTCCCTCAGAAAGCTCCGCCCATAGGGCCAGGAGATGCTCTTTCAAAAGCCAAAGACCATTAATAATAATCCCTTTAAGATTCAAAGATGGTTTGCATCATGTTAACAACTGTAGTAAAACACAGCGATAATAGCCATCACTAAGTTAGTACACACGTGGGCCAGGTGCTGTGCGAAGGACTTTCCACACATTATCCATTCAACCCAAACAACAACGTACTAGTATTGACTGTTCCCATGTCAAAGATGAGGAAACAGCCGGGCTTGGTGGCTCAGCCTGTAATCCCGTGCATTTGGGAGGCTGAGGTGAGTGGATTGCCTGAGCCCGCGGGTTCGAGACCCGCCTGGGCAGTGAGACCTCATCTCTACAATAAATCAAAAAATCAGCCGGGCGTGGTAACGCGCGCCTGTAATTCCAGCTACTCGGAAGGCTGAGGCGGAAGGATCGCCGGAGCCCAGAGGGTCGAGGCTGCGGTGGTCGGGAGCGGCCACTGCACTCCAGTCTGGGCGACAGAGTGAGACTCCAACTCAAAAACAAACAAACAAACAAACAAAAAGATGAGGAAACAAGTTCAGTTGAGATCAGGCAGTTTTTCCGAGGTCACCCAGCTGTAAAATTCTGAAACTAAGGCTTGAACCAGTCTGTCTGACCCCAAAGCCTATATACCTAATTGCTTTCCTACACATCATTTAAATCTACCACCACAACTCTAGGAAGGAGGCAAGGGTTTACCCTGAGGACTCCTCTTTCAGCCTCTCTCCTCCTCGGCTTCCATGACGTCGCTCTGCCCAGATTATCCACCTGTCTCCGTAACACTCGCAGTCTCATCAGCCCTGGCCCCATTCCTCCTCCTGCCCTCGAAGACTCTAGCCTTTTTTTTTAATCCAAGTCTCACTCTGTCACCCAGGCTAGAGTGCAGTGGTTATTATCACTGTTGTTTTTCTACAGTTGTTAACATTATGCACTGAGCAAGCACTGAGGGAGCTTTGACCTGCTGGGCTTAGGTGATCCTTTCACCTCAGCCTTCCAAGTAGCTGGAACTACAGGTGCACACCACCATGCCTGGCTAATTTTTTTTTTTTTTGAGTTGGAGTCTCACTCCGTCACCCAGGCTGGAAGTACAGTGGCATATTCATGGTCATCACAGCCACAACCTGCTGGGTTCTGGAGATCCTTCCACCTCCGCCTTCCAAGTAGCCAGAACTACAGGCACGCACTACCACACCCAGCTAATTTTTTATTTATTGTATAGATGAGATCTCGTCAAGTTGCCTGGGCTGGTCTCGAACCTGCGGGCTCAGGCAATCCACTCACCTCAGCCTCCCAAAGTGTTGGGACTACAGGCTGAGCCACTGAGCCTGGCCTAATTTTTTAAATTTATTATCGAGATGAGGTCTCGTCAATTCTTGAGCCTCTGTGCTCATCCTCTCGCCTCTGCCTCCCAAAGTGCTGGGACTACAGGTGTGAATCACTGCGCCCAGTCTATAGTTTCCAGCTTTTTGCTGGTAAGATTATCATGATGAGCATACATTTTGGTCTTCATGTAAGCAATGCCCTCATGCCTGACTTTGTCTCCAGCAATTCTGTCCTCTCCACCAAGCTATTTCTGCCTCTCAAAGTGGGCTCCATGCCTCCTCCTAACCAAAAGGCCCATGAGAGTAGATACCGTGCTGGCAACGACATCCCTCTCTGCCAAGCGCACAGTGGGCACCCGGGAGGTATTTATTGGCTGCGTTCCCCTGAAGGAACATAGCAGCATACACCCAGAGGTACTCTAGGCCGCAAAAATAAACAGCGTGTCTTCTTGAAGCATCCACTGTACTTAATGACAACTTACAGTATTTTTAATGAAAACAAACATGGACATATTACAGAGAAGAATGCACACAGCGCAAGAATTAAAGGAAAAACATGAGACTTTTTCATGGAATCCAGCAGGTTGACGCTGTGGTGGCTGTGAGCGTGCCACTGTATTCCAGCCTGGGCAATGGAGTAAGACTCCAACTGAAAAAAAGAACTGACTGAGGCCGGGAACCGTGTCTCATGCCTGTAATTTCAGAACTTCAGGAGGCTGAGGTGGGAGGATTAGTTGAGCCCAGAAGTTCAAGACCAGGCTGGGCAACATAGGAGGAAAGAAAAAGCCAGGCATGGTGGCATGTGCCTGTAGTCCCAGCTACTCGGGAGGCTGAAGTGGAAGGATTGCCTGAGCCCAGGAGGCCAAGGATGCAGTGAATACGGTATGCCACTGCCCTTCAGCCTGGGCGACAGAGTAAGAGCCTGACTGAAAACAAAAAACAAAGAGCCTGGCTGAGTCTTCTTCCCCTTCCCCCACAGAGACTGTTCCAGCCTTAAATACTTTTAAAAAATTTTTTATTTTGAAGATGTGGGGTACAATTCAAGGTCAAGTATACAAATGTTCATTATGCAGGTACCCTTGTTGATGAGCCTTAAGTACTTCTGATGACCTATATATTGATGCAGCTGCATGCTCATTCATTAAGCATTTATTAAACTCTTACTATATGCCAGGTTGAAATAGCCTTGACCCTAAAAGTGTCTTGAAATGAAAAACCCAGATCCACTGAACCTCACATTTGGGGACTAACAGACAGGTTCGGTTTGATGAGAACTGCAAGTAGCCACATCAGGAGACCAAGGTGATTGTCTGGGGTCTTCTGCCATCTCCATCTCCCTTCATCCCCACCACACTACCCAGAACCCCCATGACATCTTTTAAAACAGTTTTATTGAGATATCATTCATATACCATATAATCCAGCCATTTAAGGTGTACAGCTTAGTGGTTTTTAGTCTGTTCAATGTTGTGCAGTCATTAGCACAATCTAATTTTATTTTATTTTTATAACTTTTTTACAGACAGGGTCTCACTCTGTCACCCCAGCAGGAGTACAGTGGCATGATCGTAGCTCATAGTAGCTTCAAACTCTTGTGCTCAAGCGATCCTCCTGCCTCAGCTTCCCAAAGTGCTGGGATTACAGGCATGAGCCACTGCACCTGGTCACAATCTAACTTTAGAACATTTGTACTACTCCCCCCAAAATCCTGGTAACTATTAGCAGTCATCTCCATTCCCATCCTCTTCCCAGTCCTAGCAACCACTAATCTACTTCCTGTCCCTATAGATGTGCCTAGTCTAACCATTTCATATAAATGGACTCGTAAAATATATGGTCCTTGGGACTGGCTTCTTTCCTTTAGCCTAATGTTTTCACAGTTTATCCATGTTTATAGCATGTATCAATATCTCATTTTTTTTTATAGTCAAATAATATTCTATTGTATAGGCAAAGCACATTTTAAATGTATCCTTTCATCAATTTATGGACATCTGGGGTATTTCTGCTTTTTTGCTATTATAGCTAAATAGAGCTAATAATATCCCACTTATGAGATATTAATAATGCTTCTATAAACATTCTTATGTATAAGTTTTTGTGTGGACATAAGTTTTTATTTCTCCTGGGTATATACATAGGAGTGGAATTGTGGTGTCATACCTGTGTTTGACATTTTAAGGAACCACCAACTATTTTCCAAAGTGGCTACACCAATTTATGTTCCCACCAGCACTGTATGAGGGCTCCAAGTTCTCCATATCCTGCATTTACTCGCTATCGTATGTCTTTTTGTTTATAGTAATCCTAGTGGAGGTGAAATGGCATCTCAGTGTGATTTTGATTTGCATTTCCCTAAAGATTATTGGTGCTGAGCATTTTTTCCTGTACTTTTTGGCCATTTGTATGTCTTCTTTGGAGAAATGCTTATTCAAATCCTTAGGTCATTAAATTATTTGTCTTTTTATTAATGAATTGTAAGAATTTTTATATAGTCTGAATATCAGTTCCTTGTCAAATGTATGATTTGCTAATATTTTCTGACATTCTAGGGTTGTATTTTCACTTTTTTATGGTGTCCTTTGAAGCCCAAAAGGTTTTAATTTTGATGATGTCCAACTTATCTATTTCTTTTGTTGCTGTGTTTTTGGGCTATATCCAAGAAACCGGCATAAAACCCAAGATCGCCAAGATTTACTTCAATGTTTCTTATGGGAGTTATGGAGTTTTAGATCTTACATTCAAGTCTATAATCCACTTTGAGTTAATCTTTGTGCATGGTATAAGGAAGGGGCTTAAATTCATTCATTTGTATGTGAATATCTATTTGATCTACTTGTTGAAAAGACTGTTTTTTCTCCCACTGAATTGTCTTAGTGTCCTTCTAAAGTATCAGCAACCATAAATATAAGGGTTTACTTACGAACTCTCAATTCTATGGCACTGATCTATATGTCTATCCTTATGACAGTGCCAAATTGTCCTTGATTACTACAGCTTTGTAGTAAGTTTTGAAATCAGACAGCATGAGTCTTCCAACTTTGTTCTTTTATTAAGATTGTTTTGGCTCTTCTGGGTTACTTACATTTTCATATGAATTTTAGGGTCAGCTGTTTTATTTCTGCAAAATAGTCAACTGGAATTTCAATAGGGATTGTGTTGACTCTGTAGATCAATTTGGGGAGTATTTTCATTTCAACGATATTAAGTTTTACAATGTTTTTCATTATTTTAGATCTTTAGTTTCTTTCAACATTGTTTTGTAGTTCTCAACATACAAATCTTACACTTCTTTGGTTCCTAGGTTTTTTTGTTGTTTTTTTTTTTTTTGAGTTGGGGGTCTCACTTTGTCATCCAAGCTGGAGTGCAGTGGCACAATCACGGCTCAATGCAGCCTCAACCTTCTGGGCTCAGGCAATCCTTCCATCTCAGTCTCCCAAGCAGCTAAGACTACAGGTGTACACCACCATGCCTGGCTAACTTTTTAATTTTCTGTGGAGATGAGGTCTCACTGTGTTGTCCAGTCTGGTCTTGAATTACTGAGCTCAAGCAATCCTTTTGCCTCAGCCCCCCAAAGTGCTGGGATTACAGGCAC